CGGAGGGTGGCAACATGAGAAGGGGCCTTTTCTGCAGTGGCTCCTTGTTTGTGGAATGCTCTTCCCAGGGAGGTTCATCTTGCGCCTTCATTGTGCATCTTTAGGAACCAAGTGAAAACATTTCTCTTCAGGGGGGTCTTTGGCTAATTTGGATTCTACAGCCTTTTAAGTGTGTTTGTGGGAGGCTGGGATTATTGTTTCATTTTGTTTTCTTTTTAACTGTTTATTTTGTGCTTCCACCCTGTATGAATCTTGTGAGCTACTCTGAGATCTTTGGATGGAGGGCAGTATATAAATTTTAGTAGTAGTAGTAGTAGTGTGACATTCAGGGTGGGGTGTCAAAAGAGGTTTAAGATTGACAGCAACCAATATTCAAATACATTTACAGTCATACATTGATTTTCAAACAGCTTACCTCCGAACATTTTGGCTCCCAAACGCCACAAACCCGGAAGTGATTGTTTCGGGTTGCGAGCTATTTTTGGAAGCTGAATGTCTGACGGGGCTTCCGCGGCTTCCGATTGGCTGCAGGAGCTTCCTGCAGCCAATCAGAAGCCGCACTTTGGTTTCTGAACATTTTGGAAGTCTAACGGACTTCAAGAATGAATTCTGCTCGACTTCCAAGGTACGACTGTACTTGGATAAATTCTAGAGTAAATTGTTAAAAAGCAAGCAAAGTACTCTAAGAGCATTTGTGGCAGTTATATATTTATAGCTTATAGTGACAACAGCAAAAAGGATTTGAGCCTTTGACACAGGTTTGTTAAACACTACTCTCTCGGCCCATGATATTAGGATAGCAATGAAGTACTTTGCAGGGCTGATGTAACCTATGCTTTATCAGCCATAATACCATACTACCCCAAACACAATATTGATATACTAATAGTGGATTTCATATGCATTTGCATGAGCAGGAATTTTTAAAAATCTTCTTAGGGGAAAAAAATCAAATTTTCCATTTATGCATAAATTGCAGGTACTCCAGCAGCCCAAATTCTGCCCTAGGACACACACATGGTCTTACATGTTCCATCAGTTTTCATGTCAAATTAACGAGCAATTCTTGGCTCCACAAAAGAAGGGATTTTTTTATTCATAATGTACTGATGTAATGTGTGTGATGCTGACATTTTTGCTTCCAAACGAAATATCTGACCATTAGCTACTATGGAAACAAATCACGTATACTTGGCCAATTCTTTAGTTATGCAAAGGTCTATTCTCCCAACAACATTGAATATGCCAGGCTATCTACTTAACAAAAGAAACTGAATGTTTCATTCCATGTGTAATGAAAGTGTCATAAAGATGCTTACAATTAGTATGGAGTATTGATGACTTCCCCTTTGCTGAATTATTTTAGCTGCCTGAATATGTGTATATCATTAAACTGTTTTTGTGTAACTTTCATAGTCTTGGGAATCTTTTAATACTAAATCTAAGTGTGATGAACAGCTCAAAAGCAATGTATAACATTTTGTGCAAAAAAACACACCCCAAACACACAGGAAAAGAGTCCTACTTTTTGTATGTGGGACTGGACAAAGAAGGGAAATCTGGGCTACATGCAGGGCAGTGACATAAGGATTCTCAAATCCCTATTTCACATGCTCAGGAAAAGACAAGTTGTTTTGCATGGAAGTAAACCTGTGTTAGAGAGCACATGAACTCATGTCTTTTCTACTACCTAGGTGGACATGCTTTTGCTCAATCATGACTATACTAAAATCCCGGGTTTCTTAATAATTTTCTCTATGCAATGATCATCTCTCTACCAAAGAAAATGGAAAAACAGCTAGGGATTCTTCTCAAAATGAACCAGGCACCCCCTTCTTCATTGTCTGAGTCTAATGAAAAATATAGTGTCACTCAAGCACCAAAGACCAAAATGCAGCTTCAGAATTAACTAAAGTCCCTTTAACATTGTACGGAGAAGGTAATTTTGGACTTAGGTAATTTTGAAGCTATTTGGGGGTCTTATTTGTTTACCTTGGCACAGAGGTATTCTCTTGACCAACTACGTTCCTTCTGTGGCACCCCTGTGGGGCTCAGGAGCCCAGTTATGTCACAGCTGGCAACCCATCACCCCCTTTTTGAACCCTCCCTTGTGGAGTGTTTCTTCAGCCTCCTCTCTTATCTCCTTTCCTTGGGAGTCCTCTGGGCAGCTGCCACCCCTGGTCTCTGAGCTGCCCCCCTGCCCCAAAGAGAGGTGCCTCTTCACACTACCCCGCAGGGGCCTGGGAAGCAACTCCTGGCCAGCCCCAAAGGCACCATTCGCCTGGGGAGCTTGTAGCCAGGGCTGCTGCAACATACAGCCGTGCAAGCCTTTGGGAGGCAGAGACGCAAGAGGGAATCAGAGGAGGAGGGGAGAAGGAAAGCAGGACAGAGGCCAGTATTGCCCATAACACCCCTGACCATCATTCTAGGCACCCCCATGTTCCATAGCACACTAGTTGAAACCACTGCATTGGCAGATTCCCTTTCGTTAGGGAGATTGGCTTATTGATGGATCTCAATAGTTGGATTTAACAATGGCTAAGGAAATGCTCTGAGATAGTTCTGGAAAGGAGAATGCCTCTACTCACAGCTGGAAATAGTTCTGGAAATTCTTCTGCCCTACCTCCCTGCTTAATTTAAGCAGGAAACAAAAATTCAGATTGACAAGTGTTGGGGAAAGAATTAAAAAGAGCTTCTTGTGTGCTCCAAAAAGGCTTTCAGCATCTTTGGGTTCTAGTTGCCTCCTGAGGGGACCTGTGGGTGCAGTGAACTTTGAATATTTGTTGGAGTGGTTTCATGTTGGGGTTGCACCTGCTGCTTGTTGTTGTTGGCACTCATCTGTCTCAAGGAACATTGGCGTTCACTTCCAGGAGTGAAGGCAAACCGCCGTGTTAGCAGCACTAATGTGTCCTCTCCAGGGTGCAAGCCTGGGCAGTATGTATAGAGGTCCTGAGCTGCCCAGACGACAATACTCCCATCTTAGCCTTGATGATGTGGTCCAAAGGAAAGCAGAGCAATGCGTTTGGCACCAGCTTGGTGACAGGAGTTGCCAGAAAGAGGCATACAAGGCACCATCCAACTGTCTTAAAGACTCCACTCAGGATTTGTGTAATGTTTACTCCTTAGCCTTTTCTTCTCCTGATGCTATTCAACAAGGCAATGGAGGTTTCGGATCGGAGGTTTCTTTCTTCAGCTTTCTTCTTTCTTCAGCTTCCCAGGCTGATGAGTCCCACCTGCCTCTCACTTTCCTCTTTAGCACATATAGAAACCGTCTTCTTGACCATTAGATGCACTATTCATATTGTCTGCTCAATCTGCCAGAGCCTGTCTTTGCATGCAGGAGAATTCCCTAATACAGCCAGGGTTTGAGATGCACTGGCCACCCTCACCAGGTTTAGCTGGCCGGTCAAAGCCAGTTCCTTGGTTGTGGCCGTTGTCATGTGTTGACAGCTTCTGTGCTTAATGTCATATTTATAGATAAACACAAAATCCCAGCACACCAGCAAACCTCTAGTGGCCTCCTATTTGCGTTCAAATGAATCATTTCATGAATCCTTATCCATAGCTGTCTTTGAGTTTTGTACTTCTCAAAGCTAAGAGAAGCCCTCAGGCAATGGCACATTGACATTATTGGCTTCTGCTTCATTTATTAGCATTTATCCCATCTTGCTTGGAAACAAGATGCTGAGCAAGATAGGCCATCCAGCTGTGCTAAAATGTATGCAGTCATTAATTTCAAACAGCACAAATTGAAATGACAGGTATCATCACATCACAATGCTTGTATACAGAGGCCTTTTAAAAAGCTGTCCTAAAGCGGATGAATTTATTTTAACTGGCCCTCAGAACATTTATTCAAAGTCTCTTTGTTAAAAGAAGACAGGACAATTGCTATATGATGCAAGTCATCTGTTGGTGCCCTATTCCACAGTAAAGGTCAGAGGTGAGGAGTCAAAGGTTACTCTACCACCTGGGAACCATCAAGAACCCAGGTTGATCACTGTGCATGATTAGTGTAGAGAAGTCAGAGGTCACATCAGCACCAAGAAATTACCCGGGTTCATAGCCAACAAATACGCAAGGCCTCTGGCAGGACAGTCAACCAGGAATGCCGGCTGTTCACTAAAAAGTCACAAATATGTGCAAGCTTTAGAACTCCCCAAAACTCTTCATCAGGTAAGATGAAAGTGCACAAAGTGTGTGGGGGGGGATAATTTAAAGAGTACAACCACAAGGCAGGATATGCTAGCCATGAGGTCAGCTTTTAGACCTCATGTGCAGGCTAAGTTCCTTCTAGGTTCTAGAGATGTTGGGTTGCACACCTAGAATTCTGTGATAAGGAAGCAGTAACCACTTTCCTTATTGTAGCAGAAAACAAAGCCCATCCTATAACCCATAACTGTTCCCCACTTTAGAACAAAATATATACAGTGGTACCTTGGTTCTCGAACTTAAACTGTTCTGGGAGTCCATTCGACTCCCAAAACTGTTCAAAAACCAAGGTGCAGCTTCCGATTGGCTGCAGGAGCTTCCTGCACTCAAGCAGAAGCTGCATTGGGCATTTGGCTTCCAAAAAAAGCGTTCCTGGTCTGCAGCATTCGGGAGCTGACTTGTTCGGCAACTAAGCCATTCGAGAACCAAGGTACAACTGCAGTGACTTGGACAGGCTGAGAGCAGAAAAGAAACATAGTAGTAGCTGTCTCTGGAAAGGAAGTAGTGAACTTTGGATGGTGTGTTAAAAATAATGTAGGATTATATAGTGATTGAAGATGTTCGTAGCAAAAGGTCTGGGTACCTATGGACCAGTGATTCAGGTGTGCTAAACGGATGTTGATTTGCAGTGACTAGCCAGATTCTGCATTTCTCTAGTACTTGTGCACAGGAGCACCGGAAGTTGCATTATACTGAGTCAGGCCACTGATTTACCTAGTACAGTTTTGTCTACACTGTCTAGCAGTGGCTTTCCAGGAGTTCAGACAGGATTTTCTCCTGGCCATATCTGGAGAGGCCAGGGATTGAACCTGGGACCATCTGCATGCAGAGCAGATGCTCTACCACTGAGCTGTGGCCCTTTCCTTTGAGATGCTGCATCACCCCCAAGTAACAGTGGCATGGGGAGGGGTCTGAGCAGCAGTGGTACCTTCCTGGCAGGTGCTGCTTGTGTTGGTATGGAGGGGCAGGGAATGGCAGTGGAGAAGTTGGGGGAGCTCATCCCTGTCCTGAGGAGGACAGTGCTCCCACCAGTGGGACACTGCTGTCACCTGCACCCCCCTTTTGTGTTGCTGCTGATTCTAAGCATGCGTCTTCAGCCATCCCACTAAGTTCAGTGGGGCTCCTTGTAATGTTATTGGTCCATAGAATTGTACTTGGATAAATCAACGGTGTGTTCAATACAGCAGTTTTGAAAATGATTTTTTAAATCTTAGGCACACTTTCCTGAGACAATTCCCACTGGGCCCAGTGAGAACATGCATAGGGTTACACTGCCCATATGGTAAACTGTACTAAGGCAGTCAAAGATTGTGATCACTTAATCAAGGCAATTATAGAACATATAGGGGATATCTCTTCTTCAAACAGCAGTTTTCCATCGAAATTAAAAAAGCAAGAATCATGCAATAAATAAACCAAATTGAACCATAAATCCTCTAACACATTGCTCTGGAATGTTCTTCCGAGCGATTGCATTGTTTTGAGGAAATGACCAGATCTATTCCCCTTACCATAAATGTTGCTCTTTGGTTCTATATTAGACACATTGCAGCAGATTATATGAAATGCAACAATAATAGAAAGAAGTTTGAAAGAGTTAATGAGAGAATTCAAGAGCAATAAAAGATCACAAGACTAGCAGTTTCACCTAGCCAAAGAAAATTGTGGTAAATTATAACCAGGTGCTTTTATTTCCTGGTTCTTGAAGTACTGCAAGCTCAGCTTCTGGTTAGAAAAGACAGCATATGGTTCTGTCTGTGTATTGGATTTATCTGTTTCACTTACCTTTTACAAGGCAACTGTAACCATGACCAAGTCACACGTGCCAAATTATTTTGAAATCATATGGCTAGTGGGACAAAGCTGTAACAGCTCATGGAGTTCAGCACACTACTTGCAGATTTGACTCTGTTTCCTGTGTATGCAGAATAACCTCTCTCTGGAACTATGGCCCGGTCCCAAGCAGTATTACTCAGTAGTGATCCAACATGGTTAGAACTCTTGAATTCAGTGCTGGCAAAGGGAGCCACTGGTCCCCTTGCAGTGATCTGGACCATGTCTGTGCCCCTCTGAAGCACCCATTGACTCATTATCAGGGTCCAACGTGGAAAATAGGTTCAAATGCAAGTAGAAATGTGTGTTCCACACTAGCGAGGCTCTCATCAGGCTCCTAGATTAAAACTAGATGAAAACATCTCACCCGTGCAAAAAGGCCATAGGTAATTAAAAGCCAAAGTCCTGAAGATAAAGGAATGTTTTGCTGGGCACCTAAACATATGTAATGATGGCACCAGGCAACCGTTACTGGGGAGAACATTCCACAAGTGGGGAGCCACCACTGAAAAGGCCTGTTCTTCTCCAGATTGCCAATGGAAGAAGGGTCTCTGATGGTTAATGTAGTGTCTGGGTTGGTTCATATGGGGAGAAGCAGTCTTTCAAGTATAAATGTGCATATTGTGGTGCTGCATAATCTGCTCACTATGATAGTGGACATTGAGTAGAGGGCATCAGAACATCATTGTGTGATGCGGAATATGTTGTTAGCCATACTTGTTTTATGTGGAGATCTATACCATTAGGAAACACTGTCCTCCTTTCAGCTTTCTAACCCAGTTTCTGGCTGCTCCCAATGGACCCACTTCATATTCTGCTTCATATTCCAGGGCAGCAGAAACAATCTAGATCAGATGTTCCCAAGTTTATTTGGCCTACCACCCTGTTTTCAGAAAGAAACACACACTTCCGTGCCCCCTGGAAATCTACCTTTTGTCAGTGGACTTGGCCACTGATTGGTTATAACTTGCATTTTGTGTGTTTATTTAGAAAAGAAAGTAATCACTACAACTTTAACTCTATGTCACAATGGTAAGCAACAGGTGAAAGATGTACATATGGTATTTCAAAACTGGAGAAGGAGGTGGACTAGAACCCAGGATTAAAAACCCCTGGGGTGGACCAGAGTGAAGCTTGCCAGCTCAGTCCAATCTGCCCCAAAGGCAGGGCCAGAGCCACAGCCTGCCTGCCTTTGGCCAAATAGGCAGGCAAGCTGCAATCCACATCTTGGACCTGCATGAAGCCAGGTAAGACATGGACTAGGATAGGCTGAGAGTGTAAATAAACATACTGATAGTATATGACCCACCTTAATATGGTGCACCTGCTTCTTAGGAGTTCACACCAAGGTGGGTTGTTATGGGTGCAGTCCTATATATACTTACCTGGAAATCAGTGGGGCTTATGTCTGAGTATAAGATTGCACTGTATGACATGCTAGCAAGGATATATAAAAAAGGAATGAGCATAAAGTCTTATATTCTAGCTTTTGACTTTCCAAAACAAACACAGCCACACAACTTGAGAACATGGGATTTAGTGTCATGCCAAAACCTGTACTCTAATTTCTAAAACATTTTCTTACACCATGAAAGAAGCTTCTGTTTTTATGTCTCATTTACAGGATACTTTAGAATTTTGTTATAATTTTGATGAGTGTGGGCTTGCATTATCATTGTGTGGTGGTCAAGGCAATTTATTTTCTCATTAACTGACGGAGAATTGTCAAGAAATGCAGAAAGAAACTTTTGGCAGACCAGTAGGGGGAAGTTCAGAGTTCAGGTTGCAATGACTGAAGGTTCCATGCAGGCACACACAAATACATGTACATACACACACACATACACCTATCCATTTAACCACATGTAGCTTAAAGCACAGACTAAAGTTTATTGAGCCACGCAGAAGGGTGCTATCTTCTTGATGCAAACAAAGCCATTTCCCCCTTGTTTTTGACAGTCCAGTTAGGTTTTGACAACCACCGCTTCTTTATAGCATTCCCTGTCAACACAGTGAACAATGCATGAAGTGCCTCATATTTTTGTATTACCGTATTTTCTCTCCACTGTTTTGGCTATATGAACACACATTTGCAGGGAGGCGGAATGTTTTTCCTATCCTTTTTTTCTTCCATGTGCCAGTGTCAGCAGGAACAATGAATGTTTCTTGGCTTTTTGATTTGCTTATTTTACTGGCTTCCAATTAGATTTTTATTTTGTGAAAGTCAACGTAAAAACTTTAAAAAGAAGGGCTCTCATGAGGGCAAGATTTGTCAGAGGGCAGAAGTAGACCTAATGGGCCCAAGGTGAAGGAAGGTAGATTTCCATCAAATATTAGTTGAAATGTATTGACAGTAAGAGCAGTTTGACAGCAGAGCCACTTGCCTGAGGAAGAGCATTCCCTCTCTGAAGGTCTTCAGACAGAGACTGTTAGGGATGCATGATTTCCTGTACTGAGTAGGTAATTAGATTAGATAACTTCAAAGGTATCATCTAACTCTATGATTATATGGTTCTATGAGAGCCAGTGTGGTGTAGTGGTTAAGAGCGATAGACTCGTAATCTGGGGAACCGGGTTCTCGTCTCTGCTCCTCCACATGCAGCTGCTGGGTGACCTTGGGCCAGTCACACTTCTCTGAAGTCTCTCAGCCCCACTCACCTCACAGAGTGTTTGTTGTGGGGGAGGAAGGGAAAGGAGAATGTTAGCCGCTTTGAGACTCCTTAAGGGGAGTGAAAGGTGGGATATCAAGTCAAAACTCCTCCTCCTCCTCTTCTTTTTCTTCTTCTTATCGCATCTACTCAGAAACAAGTCTGCTTTGAGACTCCTTCAGGTAGTGATAAAGCGGGATGTCAAATCCAAACTCTTCTTCTTCTTCTTCTTCTTCTTCTTCTTCTTCTTCTTCTTCTTCTTCGGAATGGGTTGTATAGTTCTGTGTTCTGTACATCACAAGTCCAGTGTGAGTTCCAAGAAGGTCAGTAGTAGCATCAACAGGATGTGTAAAAGTGCTTGATGTTACATATCATCATCAATTTGAGTCAGCAATAAAAATATCTTTGAAAAGAAGCTTAGCTCAGAAGCAGCTCACCAGGTAGGGCAGGTATGTTATGCTAGTTTCCCAGCAGATGGGCATCTGTTGCTTACAGGAATGGAGAGGAGAAGGGGAAAGGCGGTGGAAAGGTTGGTGCAGTGCAAATGCACCAGCAAGAACACCCTATTGGCTCCATTGGTTCATTAGAACTCCCATTATCCATGAACATGTGGACTGGGGATGATGGGAGTTGTAGTCATACAACATCAGGACGACACACATTGATTTCCCTTGGAATGTTGGGTTAGACTGAGGAGACCCAGGTTAAAATCCCTACTCACCCACTGAATGAATTTGGGCCAATCACTATTTCTCAGCCTAACCCACCTCACAGGGTTGCTTGTAAGGATAAATGGAACAAGGGAGAAGAGCCTGTATGCCTCATTGAGCTCCTTGGTAGGATATTAGTGTAAGAAACAAAGACATAACATGTGTAGGCATAGCATGCTCTATCTCTCTGTTTCAATAATATTTTATTAAGTTTCAACTAAAGTCAAATCAGAATTTCATCTTTTCTCTTATTTTTGTTGACTTTCCACCCCTTTTCTCATGGATTTGTTGTTTCCCTCCTTCTGCTGCACCCTATCTTCCAGGTATAGCATGCTCTCATTGCTCATGAGAAAAATCAGATTCCAGTTCTTTGGGGAGTTCCCCTGCTTTTCTATCTAACCTAAGAAATTCAACAGGGTGAAATGCAACAATTAATGGACTTCTCTGGGAAAATCTCAGTAGAATGTGAGAAAAGGCAGTGTGCAGTTAGCCTTTGCAATAATCTGCACTGGGGAGATGTCAATAAATTGTTAACACAGAAGGAAGACAAACAACAGCCAATGTAAACTCAAATTAGGAAAAAGAACAGTGTTCTGTTGGCCATTATGTCAGCTTAAGATGCCTCCCAAGTGTGATTTCACTTTGGAGAGGAAAAAGGCAGTTAAACAGAAAC